GTGGACATGATGGAACGTGGCGGAGACTTGACCTTTTTCCCAGAATGCCCTGGCGAATACATTGCAGCGTTTGATTCGCCTCATTTCGAGGCTTCCCTGGTGTACTTTTCAAAATCATGGTTATACGCGCAAGACTGCTGATGGTCTATTATGTCTGTGCAGTAGCAAACTCTTTCCAACCATGCCTTGCGCGATCTAGGTCCTGGTATTCTACAAATTAAATATCCTACATATTTTGGTCATTAAATTAGGAAGATTTTCAAGGCGTTTATACGCGACGCAGGCTTATGCGTACGTGACGTGCGGGAGAATGGGTGAGCTCGAGCGTGTAGGATTTTGCGATTTCACTTAAGGTTCATCCCGAATAGCCAGTCAGCATCATTTTCGACTTCTACACGACCAGGGGCTAGTGAAGGAACGCGCACGCAGCCCATGGAGTCGAGGTTGTTCGCTGTTGTGTTTTAATGACGCTTTTCAGGATAGTGCGCCAAGGAGTCCACGCTGGTGCGGTAGAGCCACAGACATATAAACACATAGACCACCAGTCTTGCGTTTGTGTGCGTGGGGAAGCAATTGGTGGAACGATGGGTGGCAGCGCTTTCAGTGGGTGCGTTCGATTAGCTTCCCTGAATACACCAGTGTTACACCAAGGGAAGCCTCGAAATGAGGGTAATCGAACGCTGCAGTGTACTCGCCAGGGCATTCTGGGAAAAAGGTCCCAACTCCCTGCCACGTTCTATAATGTACACGTCCATGCACGAACAGTCCATGCGTGACGTCATTACACCCGGGCAGCCTCCAGAGACCCGTTCGCCAGCCGGGGTAGCAGTGGCTGACACCAGGGCAGGCAAGAGGATCACGTGATGGCTAAAGCGAACGCACCCAATGTGAATTGCACGTGACGCACTGGGAATACAATGTAGGCCTACCTGTTTACGTGTGCTCTAAAAAAGATGCTCCTTTTTTACTCTTTGTACAGCTATCTCTTCATGTCAAATGTTGCAACTGCGCTGTTTCGAATCTGCATGGACCAGATTAGGTAAACAGAGGATGTTTTTCACAATTGGAACATGGCTTCATGGCATTTTATGGCTGGAATTCTTCAAATGTGTGTAAATTTCCTATACCGAGGGGTGACGTGAATTTTCCCACGCTTTTGGATTTAGTCGGGTGCCGTTTCGGCTACGGTACCCCGCCGTTGTTTTGAATAGGAGCTGTCAGTCTATGGGTCAATATGTCCTTGGGTAGAGCCGTGTGGTGGGTCCCTACCGGTCAGCCTGAGAGACCCGTTGCCGCGGCGCCGGAGCAGTAACATTTTTAGAAGCACATAGTTTTGGAGTGGTTTTTCGTCTGGGGCGAAGGCTATAAGTCTACGGAAATAAAACGACCGAGAGCCAAAGAAACCTACGAAGAAGGTCTCATTGCGTCTTAATTGTCAGCGTGGACAGACCCAAAAGAAGCGGTCAACGTTACAATAATTATAAACTTTGTAAAAATGATAATCATCTTTCCCGGCTTCAAGTATTTAAAAATGTACGCGTTGATTTAAAAGTGAGTAAATTACGGGTTATTTATAATAAAATGTATATATCTCAAAAGAAAAATTAAAGATCACAATTGCATTTAAATATAATCGCATTTGAAATCGGAGAAAAAACAGGCATATAAATATTTTACAAGAATGCAGTTGAATAAATTCACACAGTGAATAAGCGCAATCTTAGTAGTAAGGTTTAAAGTTTACAAATTAATGGTAGGAGCCATGGATTCAAAACTTTCCATAAACTTATTTGCAAACAATTGAAAAAAATATGGAATACGGAGAGAAAACAGGAATTTCATCGTGGAGTGTTGCTGTTTTCGTTATTTTTCTTTCTGAAAAGCAACAAAAGCAAAGCTTTATAATGTCAATAACAATACATGTTGATAGCACCCTGACGTGTGTTACAAAAGACACATTGTACCCAGCTTTTCTCTCAGTATACACCTCAGTTTATTACATACCGCAATTCTCTTCGTCCATAAAATTAATTAAACACCTTTGAATTTGATACATTTAGAGAAAACCGTATCAACTACTTAAATTATTTCTTAGCCAATTAATTGTTACGTAGTAAACAAGTGGGTGTTATCGGATTTCAATAAACTGAATCAATAACACAGTCCCGAGAGAGTAAAAACAGAGCAGTCTTTTACTTAAAAAGTTATATGCAACTTGAACATTAATCGGTATAATGGACCAAACAAGCTAACAATCTCATATGTGGGCAGAATTTAGGACATTATGCATCAGCAAGATCAGTTTGATTTTAGTTGATCCTCCATCGCTTGAAAGATTAAATCAAAATCAAACAACTTTACTCAAAGTTTGTTTGAAATGAGCAACAATTCCCACAATAACAGATTAACCAATTCAACAAAGCCCTATTTGAATTGCTGCTGACACGACCTCATCATGGACGCACTCTTGTAGGCAGTGTTCAGAACATGGCATCGTACCTTCCTTAATTATTTGTCTTTGCTGAGTGAATGCGCCTTAGTCTTCAAGTGTTTTGTTTCTTAGAATTCTATGCATAAATTAAAACAAATAATTTCAATGATAAAAAACCGAGGGCAAATAGGCCTACCTAAACTGAATAGTTTCCAATAAAAAAGATCCTACAAATTTAATAATGACGACGTAGGCTCCGAAATTTGTCTATATGCCAAGTTTAATACATGTATGCAAAATCACTTTCACATTGGTCACTGTATGTTGGTTAGGCCTATTGCGATCGGTGTGATTTTTGTTTTAAAAAATCAAACTTACGGGTGAAAGGCATGTCCAGCTGCGAAATTATCAACTGTCAAGACGGAGGGCATCCGACGGCTGTGCAAGTCCGAACAATTTTTCAACAATTTTCCCTTAAAACAGAGAGAGAATCTGGAGCAACAAACTCTTCAGCCAGAATAATTTCCCTTTGCGCAGCATACGTGTCGTGCGCGCGCCGGTCTAGTCTCTGGTGTGACGATAGTAATTCAAACTTTTAAAGGCTGCATCTGAATTTCTTGTCTAGAGCTAGGTCTAGGTCTCCGCTCCATTGGAAATGTGTGGAGACGCGTAGACGATAGACCTAGCTGTAGCGCTGGAAGCCGTTTCGGACAAGGCCTTTCAAACCCTCATCGACGAAACGCGTGCGTGCAAGATGGAGGGCGCTGTGTCCTATCCAGTTTTAATGGTGATCAATGCTTTGAATGTGCGCATTTCGCATTAGTGCCGGGCGCGTGCGCAAGCTCAGTTGAAAAACTTAGCCTGTCTCTACTTTGCCAGTGAGGATGCACTGCAACTGAGGGCAGATAGCCTCTGAACTGACAACACCGCATTTCGTCTAGAGATGTGCTTTCCCCGCGTGCTCAGTGGACTGTGGGCACCCAGTGGCTTCAAGAAATTGCACATGTGAAGAAAGTGTACTTCAGTACTTTTACTGAACTATACAAATCACGTAATAATTATATATAAATCGTGCAATGCTGCCATGCTGGATTTTGTCTGTAATAATATCAATACATGAAAGATATTGGAAAGACGGGAACCAGTCTCGAGAACTATGGAACGCCACGACGACAGTGTTTAGTGGGGTATCAGTTTCCAGCTGTAATGAGGGTTAAACCTTTTTTGACGGGAGGCAGATCACGTTTTACATGGCATGGCCGTATTTCATTTCAGTTTCTTCGAGAAAAGGTTGTGATTGAAGATAGAAATCAGAAGCATAACGGGCAAATATGTACCTTCCACAATTATCATAGGCCGATCAGTTTTCTGGGCGGGCTTTTTCTAAAGAAATGATTTTCTATTAAAAAAAAAACAATTATCGTATCAGTTTCCTAGGCGGGCCTTCATCGAAATGGATTTTCTATTCTGACTTTGCAGGAGTATCGGGATCCTCGGGAGAGCCATGGATCCAGTTGCGTCGCTTCAGCCTGAATGTCCTCCGGGGTTTGGGTGTCGGTAAATCGAGCTTCGAAGAGCAGATCGGGACTGAAGGCGAGGAACTGATGAAGGAAATGTCTGTATTCAACGGCAGGGCCTTCAACCCTAAACCTCTGCTCAGCAGCGCCGTGGCCAACGTCATCTGTTCAGTTGTTTTTGGAAAGCGCTACTCTTACGATGATCGAGATTTTATGCAACTTCTGAGTTCACTGAGTAGTGTTATCACATCACTCGGATCTGGTGGTGTTCTGTATTTATACGAAGGTTTAGCTCGTCTGCCCTATTTAAAGTCAAAATTGGAAAGGCTTCGGGCTGACTTTGCTCAAATCATCCATTTCTTGAGAAGTGTCGTCGACTGCCATCGGGCAAAACTGGACCCTAACAATCTTAACGATTTCATTGACGTTTACCTTGTGGAAATGAAACGAAATACTTCCATGAGCGTTACTGGGGAATCGGGTGGTGAGGCAAAGGCCACAAACTACAGCCACTTTGACGAGGAAAATCTGCTAAACGCTTTGAGAGATCTCTTTGCGGCAGGCGCTGAAACCACGGTCACTACGCTAGAGTGGTGCTTTCTCTACATGGCTATCTACCCGGAGATTCAACTGCGTGTCCAGGCTGAGATTGATGCCGTGGTTGGTCGCAATCGGCTTCCCAGATTGGCTGATAAACCGGGTCTGAATCTCACCCGAGCCGTGATCTGGGAGGTCCAAAGGATGGCCAGTATCGTCCCCTTGGGCTTGCCACACGTCGCCGCTTCCGATACTCAGCTGCAGGGTTTCCTGATCCCAAAAGATACCATTCTGGTTTCCAACATGTGGAGGATTTTCCGAGACCCGAGAATTTGGCCCGAACCGGAGATGTTCAAGCCAGAACGATTTCTGAACGACGAGGGCAAGGCGTTCAAACCAGAAGAGTTTATACCTTTTGGCGTCGGTGAGTGATCATTTTACCGAGTACCAATTGTAGCTATATATTCAGGGAGGTTTAGCGCTTACAAGGATATTCATTACTTACCCGATCATGGTCAACATTTTCTGTTATAGGATAAGTAGATTATTGAATGTACTGACGCAAGTCTTACCATGACATGCTCTTTAATTCACCTTGCAGGTGTCATAATAAAAACTGTCCGGTGACAAGTAGGGTCCTTCTGTATGCATATTGCCATATCATTAGTCCTGGTAAAATATGACGTCAAATTCATGGCAATAGCTTAAGGTGTCTGCGTAAGCGTGCATCCGCTTGCGTGACTTGCTGTTGAGGCAACAACACACGTAGAACGGAGATTATTTTACCTAAATTTGCTTTCTACAGTTTGTTTGAACGTTTTCTTTTTTATCTGCGCCTACTCTGAGGATTTGTAAAATTATTTGACAAACTTTTATTATGATAGATTATAACGTTTTGTTAATAATTTCAAACCCACATCAGCCATATCTAAGAAATAATGATAAGTGTTTGGATAGTCAGTTTTCTCTGTGAGCATAAGTAGAAATCAGTTGGTGCGGCGCTGGCAAAGGTAACATAATTGGCTTAGTTCCAACTTATTTAATTACATGTACATGTCCTAATCAACAGATGGCCGATCATCTGAAATTTGGGAACGAGGCAACCAGCGTTTTTGCTGAAAAGATCTAAATAGGCCTACGCGTGTACCGTACACGGTATAATGCGCGTGTGCATCGCAGCCGTATTGCGCATGGAAAACAAATCAAATCAATTACCGACTTGGCACCAAGTCTACGTATGAAATGTAGGCTCAAAGTCGGCTCCGGTTTTTGATTATGTTCTGAATTCCCTCGAAATGCAATTTAACGATTTTTTGCCACTGGCTGCAGTTTGAGGGGGGGTCTCGATGTTTGGTGGTTTCAACGTAGTCTTACTCTTTCCTTCAGGTCGCCGTATCTGTCTGGGTGAGCACCTGGCCAAGATGGAACTCTTTATCTTCTTCAGCTATTTCATGCACCGGTTCACCTTCATGAAACCTGCCGATGCACCGCCGCTGACTCTGGAAGGGAAGAACAGTATCACGTTCTCGCCTTTGCCGTTTGAGATTTGTGCCGTGGAACGCGATTGAAGGATTTACAGTGCAAATAATAATAACCCTGAAATACATATAGGACCATGTAAACTAATGGTCCTTCATACTTTCATAGATAAAGCAGCGTTGTGAAATTTTAATACAAAGAAAGTGTTTTTCTTTCGACCAGAATGATGACCATGAAAACTTCCAGTCGCACAGATGACAATATGTTTAAAGCATTCTCTTTGGTAACCGACCATGTGGCGCATTTCAGACTTAATTTCCCTTCACTCGAAAATTGCCAACTGATGCTGATTTTTAGTCATATTATACATGTTTTATATAAATATTATTTAGTGAAAATTTTATCCATATTTCAATCTTTCTAACCAGCAAGTTTATTGTTTTACTCAGCTTCCAACACTTGAAATGAGTTTCGTCTTATTTACTTTAATTAAAAGCACATAGCTGCAATCAATATGTTTTAATGCAAACTTTCAAAATGCACGTTTCTCAGCTAAGCTTATATATTATTTTCAACTTTCATTTCACTATTTCAAAGGATATTTCACTTCCGTTTTGCTTTTTATGCTAATGAGATTTCGACATTCATGAGCAAAACTTATTTCAGGAAAAAAACCTCAATGTTACATTGGTTGTACACAAAAAAGTCCGGCTTTTGTAGACTTTGCTGGAATTAGTTATCTCTTCTTTAGTGATTTGTTGTTATTTATGTGCATAGCAATTAAGCAGACACCAGTCCCTCTCTCCGAAATGTTTTCAGTTGTTAAATTCTGGGTTCAAAATTTGAATGGAAACACCATATGCTCTGAACCATATCTTTCCCAAAAGACTTCACAGCACAGATCTCTATGGTCGAGTTCGGGCAGCCTGTTCTTGACACTGGTTTCTTGTTCTCGCGCTCGAACGGCGGGAACACGACTCAAGAACACTGTTCTCGGAACAGGATCACACACCACCTCCTCGTCGGGGTTTTACAGGAACACACGGAAAAACTCGTGAGATTTAGATTTTTGAACAGCTACAAAAAGTAGAGAGATGGCTTCCAAAGCAATAGACAATGGGAAGTTTTGCAAAATTAACATTAATTATTTTCCGTAACACAGAAATGAATGTTCCTAATATATAGAAAAGAATTCAGCCCATCCAAACATTAACTCTCGAATACCGTACCCTACATGGACGCTGCATGTTGCATGTTGCTTGTCACTAACTACCAGCGATAACCGGTTCTTTGTTCCCGGCGTTCGAGCGGCCGACCCACGAACAACAAATCGAGCTGTTCGTGAACATACGGGAACAAGGCCCCCGAACTCGGCCTATGCTTCACAGCAACAGCGCCCTCAGTTGTCCGGGATAGCGTGGATATTTTTAATAGTTTTAACAAATCTTCCTCTGTGTACATTTAACCAAATAGGAATGTGAAAGAGTTTTCATGCATTGAAGAAGAATACGGTTGAAGGAAAAATCATTGCAGCTACACTTTCACGTATTACAATGTAAGCAAAATTAATACTTTAGATTTTCCTCTTATTGAAGAATACAAGTTAAATTAAGCCTCATGGTCGTCTCAAATTTTGGTGTTGTTCATAACTTTTGTACTCAGATTGGAATGCAATAACTTTGAACAGCACATAGCCATAGGTTCCGTAACGCTTGGGTGGATTCGGTATCAGCGTGAAAGTGGGAGACTTTGAGACGCATGGTGGCAGCTGAAATCTAGAGAATCATCGGTGGCGGCAGAAAAACCGGTCCTATTTGCGGTTGCGTGCTTCTCAGAGGCCCATGCCTAGAACTGTACGCGCATGCCAACTTTGACGAATCAATCAGAAAAAAAAACGTACAGGACGTACGTGGGGCTCAGACAAGGTTCGACAATCAGTTCAGACGATCACCACGTTACATTCTATGCACAATTCATACCCTGAGCAGGTATATAAGCTGAGGGCACATACATGTTTCGATCGATGAGTCGATTGGATTCCGCCTTTCGATTTCTCTGTCCGTCATTAAAGTAAAGTTCTTCTCGTGGGTCTTATCCTTTTAATTAAAAAGGCAGGCGAAAAACCATGGAATTGAATTCGACTGGGCTGTGGCCCACAATGCGCACACTTCTAACGTTTACGATTCTGCTTCTAGTTCTTCGATGGTTCCTCTGCTGCCCGAGGAACCTAACCTTGTCCCATTTTCGGTGGTCTGTCGTTCAACTTAGGGTGCTTGAATGCCACCTTTGTCGACTCGAAATCGCCAAGGATGACAGCTAACTGGTTGATGCGGAACACCGGACCATAGCGTTCGACGTACCTCCCCAAAACGTGATGGGGCTGTAAACCTTTCCTGGTAGGATGGCTGGTAGAGACCCCAGGAGTGGGAATTCCCAGGGGCCGGGTGGGAGTCGTTGGGCAGATCCTGCCCCCCCGCTCTTATATCTACTTCATAGCAACCCAATGTCATATTGATTTTATTTGCTATTATTTTGACTGCTTTCATTTCTTGATTTCCAAAATTTACAACGATCATTCAGCTGATAAATTCATCAAATCTTTGTACATTGTGTCTCATGAATGCAGTTGCGGATATTTGTCTACAACTTTAGGATATTTTCAGGGGCACTGCTAAGAGTGTGTGTGAGTGTGTAAACGCCTTCAATCGTGGACCTATAACAATAGGGGACAATATAATTAAGCTTTTAAAAAGCTCACAAGTAAAATTGAGAGATCACAACTGAGAAAATTACGAATAAATGAAACTAATGATAAATTAAATTTCAAATTGAAAAGTTTTTACTTACTGATTGGCATAATGTATAGGGTAGTCATATTATCCATCAGTTTTGGGGTTACCATTTAAGAGACAGCCTTAACAAAATGCATTGTGTACACTGCCCTCTAGTGTCGTGTCACGTGCCCCCTCACCTTTGGAATTTACAACGACATAGATTTTGGTATTTTGGTCATCTCCTACACCCCAATCGCCGGCAGGAATTTATAACACTTGTAATGATCTACAAACGGAGAACAACGCAACTTGTGGAAATATTTAAAACACTTCACAGACTACACCTAAACGTTTGAGCGTTTAAGTTATTATGAGCACCAAGCATGCGTACTTGTGAAGAGGAGTTGCCCAAAAGTATTCAGCAAATAGATCCAGTTAGCCCCTGTGCGTACTCTCTCGGTGCAAAAGAATATACAGCTCACTCTTAGCATGAGCTAGTGAATCCCGATAAAACCATTCCAAAAGAGTGAAATTTCTAAGTTCAGACTTTCATGGAGCCAAATTAGGCCGACAACTCGTAATGTGCCCCCGGAGTGATTTTTAATCTTTCAGAGTGCTTTGGCTTTGCGCGGTAGCCATTTTGCAGGGCAGTTCTTTTGTTCTACGGGAAAACCTACTTTGTGCATACCTTTTGGAGTAACAACACTGGCCTGTAAGATGGAGGCCATGTAAACCCTCTGTGTGGGACTTGTTCTTTTAGAGGTATTACCTTCCACCTTTAGACAATTATACACATAATACTGGTTGAATTATGGTGGCAAAATCACTGACTCCACCCGAATGCAGACCCAGAACAAAATTGGGAAAGGGAGGATGAATAGTTTAATGATCTGGGCTTCCTAGCGGTGGCCTTTTTAACGGCTGAAGGGCTAAATATTTGGGAGTTTTACGCACTTTGCAGAGGAAGGGAAATTAATTATGATGTTGAAACAAGTGGTCTCCAGTTCCTTCAACAGATACAAGAAGCAAGTATTTTAAAAACCAGAGACCATTGGTTGGGAGCAATTATACAGTGGATGCTTAATCTGGTAATATCTCAAATGCATGTCGCACATCAGTTCTAGTTTTACAGTCCAGTAGATTTTTAAATTAACTTCGTTTCGAGCTCCACAAAATCTTTCTCAACAAAGTACGTACGGTATAGCTTGTTTTATTGGGACTGAAATGTTAACGTGGACGCATTAACGTCACTTTATTCCACTCCGTCATTGTTTTTCCCCCACTAGTAAAGATTTTTTTCAACTAAATGTGAGTGGTACGAAAGCCCTGTAGTGCCATCAATTTTCAAAAAGTGAAGTATATTTTTTTGTGGAGCTTATTTTTAAGAGCTTTTTTTTTTCCAAAGTTCGTTTGTTAGAGACATACACTCTCCAGTTCGTTTGAAAGAGATTAATATTTAGAAACATTGCTTCCAGTTTTGGTAACTAACACGTTTTACGAGAAATTTTTTTTGTAAGTTTGTTTTTTTATGAATTAATTTTTTCCAAGTTAATTTTCAGCAGATATACATTGTTAGGTTTGCTTTTATTTCTCACAAAACAAACTTCAAAGAAATGTAACTCATAAAGAAACGAACTTTCAAAAATTCTAAAAACGAACTTGGAAATATATACCTTTTAAAAACGAAACTGAAAAAATATACTTCATAAAAAAAAATTGAACAAAATATACTTTTCACTTTTTCTTACACTCCATGCGTAGTTTCGTACGATGGCATGCATCGTAGTCATGCTTGTCTTCCGGATCAGTGGTTGGAAATATTCTACAAATAGGGTGGAGATGTGTAGGTTCCTTTATTCGTTTAATTCTATTTTCCTCAATATCAAAGTGGATTGAACAGCTAAGAGCAGCAGTTTGCTTCAAAGCGTGGTCTAAATTAGTTTACAGACAGAAATACTACAAGTGTGCATGTACGTATTTAAGATTTCACAAGTGATTTCACCATTTATAAAAGAACCCCCTTCAAAATAATCGTACCGTCCAATTCTTCTTAACCTCCATGACCGAGATAGCGTCCCTAGCTCCGATTCGTTACATTGTGTATGTACACACATGCACGAAATACTATTACATACGGTACATTTGTTTATATTGCTGAAGCGGTTGTAAAACTAGTTTGGTTTGGAAACAAATTTTGTGGAACGTGAACTCAACAAAAGACTACATTGTCCACTAAGACAGAGAATCTAAGACGGTGATGATTTGTTCCAAGTAGCCTAATAAAAATGATGATGCTGTGAGAATGCAGTGGCCGACAAAGTAAGTTTATGGGTTTACTTCAATACGAACAGGATGAATAAAGCAGGAACGTGAACATGATGTAGGCTACCTACAGGCCTACATGTACATGTACGTCATGTGCATCATACATGTACCGCGGCGCTACATAAATATGGCTACCTGTCATGCCTGTAAGCTGTACTCCGAGAATTGTGAGGCACACCACCGTAGGCCTACTGCCATTTTACCAAGTAGTAGAGGAGAGAGGATGGACAAGGGACATGCAGTATTGCCAACTATTGGGCCCCAAGTTTAGTTTGCCAAGTTGAAGCCCGAAAGTAGTTTGTGTCCATAGGTCTGAAAACGGTGTGGCTATGCCATACGGTTTTCAGACCTATGCTCCCATGGGACGACTCATACCTTGGGCAACTCATTACTTGGACAACTTGTAGGCCTACGTCGAGTGAAGACCACCCATACCTTCATGTTCACAATTCGGTTGTAACTTTCTTGCTCTTCCTTTTCACATGTTTAAGATCAGATTTGACAAACATATCAAGGAAAAAATCTTCATAAATTTCCCTGGAGAGATCTTGAGTGCCAGCATGATTTTCAGCATAGTGCCTGCCGTGGATGTTGAGGCTGTCAGTTAACGTGACGGAACCGGACTGTTTACCATCCTGACTTCCTTATTAATATTCTTTTTTAGTTGTGGGGAGGGACTTCACTAACCTTTAAATTCTGGGGTTTTTTGGGGGGGACTTCAATTTATTCTTACGGCTCCGATAAAACCTTATTGGAATTTTTCATTTTGTGGGGGAATGATGGCTTTGTTTAGTAACTTTTTGTGGGATGTACTTAATAAAACTTGTTATGTCTTGATTTTTGTTGGAAATGTTTCTGGTCTCATTTTTAAAATTTTTTTGGGGGGTAGTAGTTACCTTCCTTATTAAAATTCTTTTTTGAGGGGACAAGTTACACCTGACGTCACTTTTACTTTGAATAAATGAAAACAGGACATCACTCCATCATCGCGGCTGGACTGCACAGTGAAGATTAAAAAATGCCTGCATCGACGGCTGGCTGCGTTGATAAGTGTCAATTGCCTGACCGCGTGTGCACATGCACGACGTTGACGTGTCTCACATTGATGTCACCCCACCGGCGTGTAAGAAAGGCAGTGTAGCCAAAACGGCAAATTAGGTGACAAACACATGACTAAAAAATCAAATCATTGTTCAAGGTAATTACAATAATAATTAGCTCTGACTAGGTTCTGATTTCTGTGAAGGTATGAGTTGTCTTTACAGGAGGTACATGTACGAGTTGTCCAAGGTACGAGTTGTCCAAGGTACACTGTACGAGTTCACCTGTTCTGCATAGCCTTACCCCCAGAACTTTTCTTTGGTTTTCAAGTTTTCCCTGCCTTTGAAATTTTTCACTCTCCCAGACATGATGCAGCGTATGAGCTCACCGGCAGTAAGGTACCGTAACCATGGCAACCCCGTGGGACGAAGTTTTCAGGAGGCAAACTACAAGCCAGAATCGAGACCCTTGCCGTCACGTTATGCAAACACCACCCCGCCACGTACCTACGATGACGAAGATTCTCTGATTACCGGGTCTGGGCTGGACACAAGCTTTGAGCTCATGTCAGCCACTCAGCTACGAGAACAGCTGAGGGTAAGTCCTTCGAAGGTAGAGAAGACCAGAGCCCTGTGCAGAGAGAGTAGTGCCAACGTCACACTTTGGAACCAAAATGGCTTTTCATTACGCGTGCAGTACAGCATGCAGCTATTGTGTGCCAATTTTCCACAAACACCGACGCCTAATCCCCCATTTTGGTTCCAGCAGTTTAGACGCTCATGTCGCAACCCTCTATAAAATGCTCTGGAGAGGACATTTTGCAGAGTCTCCTGCACTCAAAATCAGATGTCTTGACTGTAAATACTCTTTCTTACCCCAAACTAGTTCAAGACGTCTACTTCATTCCCGTCTGACAGGAGAAATTGGTGGTCTGTGTTTTCCAACGATTGGCTAATTCCAGTGGCCGTGTGACTCTGATGCCCTCTAGTACACTGTCCATGTCCAGCTTTCGAGTTAACCAGCTATTGTTGGCCCAGATGCAGTTCATTGGGCGTTATGTGGGGTAGCGTATGCTCATGCATGGGGGTAAAATGAAGAGAAACAAAGATTTGCTGCACACAATGTGGCTCGCTTAATGTCATGTTCACTGACAGAGTAGGCACCAGTTGGTAAGGGTAATGTACGGTACTTGAACAGTATTGTATATGTAGCATTTACAAAAATTATCAGTGTTAAAGCAAAAGCAAAGTCCAAAGCCTTGGCCCTCAAGGTCAAGGCCCAGGCGAGCCCAAGCTTTGACTGTCAAACCTTAAGGTTAAGGCCAAGGTTTAAGAGCTGTGTTGTAGGATTTAGTGATTTGCATACACTTGCAATATGAAGTGTTTCAACTTTTGCTCAAAAAAGACAAGTGCTATGTTGTTGGAAATACAGTATCTCTGTATTGCAGCATGAACTTCAAATGCACCATCTGCTTGATTTGATACCATTTCTGACTATTATTTGGGGAGAAAATGTAATGTTTTGGGGGGACAAGCTGTGTAAAACTAAATCATGATTACAGTGATCTAAATCAAGAGATAAATGGCAACTCTCTGGTGACAAGTAAAGTGAATTCTGGCGTGCTCAAGATCAGACCATGTGGAAATTGACCCATCATTTAGCTACATGTACATGTAATACAAGCGATTCACAATAGTGCACCTCCAAGAATTGGCAATGCGTTGACTGATCACAGCGAGTGAAATCTGTCAGCCGTTTCCAAACGCACCTTTGGTCGACACATTTCGCGACCAGTAATTGTCAACGCGTTGCAAACTCTTGGAGGCGCACCATTGTGAATCGCACGTATTATACGGTGCGTTTGTTGCCCAAAAGTACACCAGTTCCAGTTTTAGTGAGTGAGAGCCTCGTCCATTGATCTACAGCGTACTGTACCTACACGTAGTCCATTCATCATCGGTACAGGTCTACTGGTAGTATTACATGTATCTCACAAAGTAAACTCTGTCTCTCTTCAAGCATCTTTGATTCACCCTTAATTGGCCTAAAATGCAACATAGTTTTGTACGTGTAACAGTTTATTTTTAGACTATGTTTTATTCACCAATTTCTAGCTTTGTGTGAGTGTGTACATGTACATTGTATGAACCTACAGTATGTACCTTACATATCTACGTACATGTACATGTATTCAGTGTGTGAGTGCGTAATGTACATGCTCATGTAAGGTACATATATGTGTACATGTACATAGGTTCCTGTACGATTGTATTTGGCATGGGTGGGTTTGAGATTTCAGTCTTTCATTTTTTCTACTTAAAGGAAGAAACTACATGTACTTTCCTGCTGCTTTATACATGTACTAACAACTTCAAATACAGTGAGTTGCTGAAATATACAGTGTGTGAAGGACTTGAACGGGACAGTTGAAAACACGTTCACCATCGGTTGTCGCACGGAACATTCCTGCCCCGTCCATGTCTGCCACGGTGTAGGCTCGAGACGTTTTCGTGGGGGAAAATGCAAATGCCCAAATGGATTTATAGACATCAATGCCCATTTTCTTCCAGAGCATCAGAAAAAAGTGTCTTATTGAAAGTTTTCTATTGGTTTTGCTGGAGACGGTTGGCAAAATCAAAGAAAGTGTATATGGGAGCCCAAAACAGGTTTGGTCAGAAATGAGGACCATAAAATAAAATGGGGTGCCCTCAGACTATGAATGCCCCAAGTTCAAAGAACTACCGATGCACCATTGGTTTTGAATGATTCGATAAGATCCAGGAAAGTGGGTTGTAAACTTAATCTGGAAATCAGGTTTCATTTGACTGATGTTTGATTCAGATAAAAAGCTGTGAGAACTGTACACTGTACGTATACATGGTTGAAGTACTGTACACAATTGTGCAGATCACAGTTCAATTTGCTCCACCGGGTGCAAAGTTTAATTTGTCCTGATTGCCCTTTAGGCCTGCAACTGTGTATGACTATCTTCCAAGTTTAGTTGACAGTAGGGATACACTTGTCAGGGCAACCACTTGATATACTTTCAAACACAGAAGCTTGGCATTTGTTATCAAAAGTAATAGGGTTCGTGAACTCCAAATGTTGAGATAGCACTACAAAGTCAAGAAAAAGATCTTGCCACACTCGAAAGTGTGTGGTGTGCATAGACTCTGTACATACATGTACATGTACATGTACGTGTACCCGTACAAGACTGTGATCAGAGAGGGCGCACTGCCTTTGCTGAGGTGTAACAGTCTTATACTGGGCGTGCTCACTTTTTTGGGCAGATCTAGGGTCCAGTC